GTTGCCCAGTGCAATTTGATTCTTGATTTCTTGATTGCTGCTTCCATGTGTGTTGATTGTGGATCCAAGTAAAATGAAATCCCTGACAACTTTAGTATTATGGTCAGCATGGAAGTAGCCAAGTCAGAGTCTCTTTTCAAGTCTGAGTATACCCCAATCAACTGGTTATCTATCATAACACTATTTGTTTCTTCATAGCACTTACCACTTGTTCTTTTATTTGCTTGTTTGTTTATCTGTTTCTTGTCTGTTCATCCCGTCATACTAACAGCTCTATGAAGGTGTGAAATTTGGTTTACTGCCCTAGTTCAAGATCTTGACACAGTGCTTGGCACACAATAGATGATCAGTAAAGATTTATTGAACAAATGAGAGAAATAAATAGTGTTGTTGATTATGTGTGCATATGTGTTTGTGTATGTGCACAAGCAGATTACTATGCATGATGTGTAAGAAGGTGGATAATTGTTGGTATTTGTGTGTGTGAATTTTGTGTGAAGTACGTTCTAGCATTTAGTCTAAGCTATCTGTGTCTACAGCCTTGACTGTGTGTCTGGTGGTCTACTATACACACCCATCAGAAATTTGTTGGCAGAGGGGTTTAAAGAGCCCCTTGAGAAAAAATTTACCCCCTAGGACAAAAAAGATCAGGAGACAAGCTCAAGATAAGACAAGGGTTAGAACACTTCCAGGGTTGGAAGGGAGAAGCACTTTTGTATGTGTACTACTGAATTTCTCTTGGATAGTGACATGGATTTAATTCTGTACCCCCAAAATATGTGTCAACTTGGCTAGACCATGAATCCCAGTAGTTTGGAGTTATGTCATGGTGTAATTTGGCAGCCATGTAATTATATAATTATTCCCCATGATGGGATATGATGTGATCAACCAAAGAATTGTAAGTGAATTAAAGTAGGATTCAATATCCTTCTGTGGTAGTTAAGGTTGTGTTTTACCTTGGCTGGGCCTGATTGAGTGGCTGGGCAGCTGGTGGTAATTATTCCCCATGATGAGACTGGCAATCAATTCCACATTGAGATCTAACATGAGCAGCTGAGTAGCTGCTTCAGGGATGTGCTCTGCTTCCCATATATGAGAATCAACTTTGGGAATGGTCTCTAGCTTATGGCGTGCTTGAACCGTGCATGTAGCTGAGCCATTGTTCAGCAGCCTGCCATGCTCTGCTGATCTTGGGACTTTTAATGGACTTGAATTAATGGCCTGTCCTGTGGTTGAGTAATATCGGGTCTGTCCCTTGTTACTTGTTGACCTTGGGTATATCACCTTCAGCAGCCAGCAGCTGAGTGAAGAAAAGCATCGGGCTTCAGTGGGTCAGGAGCAGGAGGCAGAGCTAAAGCCCAAGGTTGAGGCTGGCTTTCACCCAGCCCCTAGAGCCTGGAACTTTGAACTCATACTTAAAGCCTCCAAATTGTAAAAATAAATTCTTGTTTGTTAAAGCCATCTCACTTGTGGTATATTCTTGTCAGAGTGGCATTAGGTAACCAAAACACCTTCTTCAGGTCATAATGCTGTTCTGAAGTAAAGCTAGTTTTCCTGGGCTCTCGCCTGCTTCACTTTTCATCTTTCAAAAGATGATAGGAGAGAGAAGCAAGCAGAGGTGGAAGGATCTCAGTACCACTAAGATAGAAGAACCTGGGGCAGAATGCATCCTTTGGACTCAGGATCCCAGCGCTGAGAAACTCCTAGACCTAGGGGGTGACTGATGCCAAGACACATGGAGGTCTCCAAGGGATGCCTGACTCACAGATGTTGAAAGGAAGCAAGGACTTTCCCCCAGAGCTGGCAGAGAGAAAGCATTTCCCCAGAGCTGGTGCTGTGAATTTGGGCTTCTAGAGTCCTAAGCTGTAAGAGAATGAATTTCTTTCTGTTACAGCCATCCATCTGAAGTATTTCTGTCATTGTAGTACAAAATAACTAAGACAGATGGCTTTAACAGACTTACCATTCATGGACTCATGTCTTGGCACTTGTGAGAGGGATGCCTGTGTTTAGAAACAGAAAGGTCTGTTTTTACAGGAAGCTCTACAATATTTTAGGATGCCCTGTCAGTCAGAGTCCACCCAGAAAATCAAACTATACTAGGCGATCACATAGGAAAAATTTAACATGAGGATAATTTACAAGATGCTACAATTGCAAAAAACTTCTTTAAAATGTTAAAAAGCCAAGTTGTCACTTTGAAGGCTATAGTGTGTCTGACCCAAGCCATGGTATTTTCACTAGCTTCATATGCATGTGAAAGCTGAACAATGAATAAGAAAGAATGTAGAAGTATGAATGTATTTGAATTATAGTGTTATCAAGAATATTGAATATATCATGAACCACTAGAAGAATAAACACATCTGTTTTGGAGGAAGGACAACTAGAATGCTCTTTAGAAGCAGGAATGGCCAGACTTCATCTCTTGTACTTTGGTCATGTTATCAGAAGGGATCAGTCCTTGGAGATGGATACCCTGTTTGGTAAAGTCGAGGGTCAGCGAAAAAGGGGAAGACCTAGATGGATCGACAGAGTGACTGTAACAATGGTCTCAAGCTTAGCAACGATTGTGAGGATGGTGCAGGACCAGGCATTCTGTTGTACATAGCATCGCTATGAGTTGAAACTGATCCCATGTCATGTAACAGTAACAACAGAATAACATTTAAGACAACCAGGGGAAGGTGAGTCAATTCTGAGATTAGCAAATGCAGGAAGCTGCTAACATTTCTAATACAGAAGGGACAAAGTGAGTGGATGAGGCCCTGGGCTGGGGTCACTCAGTAGAAGCTGGAACAGTGAGTCTGCTCAACATGGGGTGGGACCACACAGGGAAGAGATTTTTGGACACAAAGAAGATGTAACCATTGCCCAACGTATTTTCTGAGGTAGAGAGATAGTGGAATGCTCTGGTTTCTCCCTTTTGCTCTCTCTCCAATCTTCTATTAGGGCCTTCCTTTAGCCAAAACTAATCAGAATCAGTTGGCAAAAGACCCTCAAAACCATAGTTAGGAAAACTCAACTTCCTACAATATTGTGCACAGGAGGATAAGTGTGCAGAATGGGTGTAAAAGCAAGAGGACAAATGACAGCCACAGATGCAAGGTGGTGTTGGCTTGGTATCCCCAGAGAGATTATGACATAAAAATAAAAGATAGTATCATCCTACAACCACTTTGTGACACAATCTTAGTGCTTTGAGGGTTTTGATAAATCATCATTTCTGGCATAGATGGTTGTCCTCAAGGGGAACAGAAGCAAAATCTGGCAGAGAAAGCAGTAGAAGTGGAGGATAGAATATATATGACAATTATATATAGTCTCCTTTATCCAGTTTAGGAGCTCTGGTGGCATAGTGCCTAAGGCATTTGACTACTAACCAGAAGGCTGGTGGTTCAAACCCACCAGCCACTCCCCCAGAGGAAGATTGGGCAATCTACTTATGCAGACATACCACCTCGGAAATCCAAGGAGGGGTTGCTGTGAGTCGGATCCAACTCATCGGCAGTAAGTTTGTTTTTTGTTTGTTTGTTTGTTTTTATGCAGTTTATGAAGTTGCAGCAGCAAGATAAAGAAATAGCAGTTAAAACTTGGTAGCTTATTTAGGTTAATCTTTCCTTGGCTTGGCATAGTTATGTGCTTTATCTTCATAATTTTATTAAATTCTCATAGTAATATCATGAAGTTGGTACTATTAATCAGTATCACCCTCAGATGGGAACAAGAGAAGCTTCTAACCTTGACTCTACACCTTATTGTGCCAACTTCTTTGACACATCATCTTCAAAATTTTCTGAGTCCCTTTCTGGTGGTGGGCATGTCTGGGGCCAAAAATGCTGTCTTGCCAGGGATCCCTGAGGTGGGACTGTAACCCATATGGGCCCTGTTCCTATTTCTCTGTCTAGTGGCTCCCTTACCCTGTACCTTGCATATGGAGGTGATGAGATAACTCAAGGAAATCCAGGCTTGATGCCTATGGAGTCATCTTGGGGTCCATGGTGGGGACCTTATTCCAGGAGGGTTGCCCGGCAAGCAAATTCCTTCCATGAGTCAGCATAAGATTTCATTTATGTGGTTGCATAAGATTGGACTGATAGAGTGATTTGAAATTCACTATTTTGGGTGATTCATTTTTTGTTTGTTTAATATAGACAATTCCTTCAAAAAATATTTTCTCAGGGTAATGCATATGAGCACACTTTTGTTATTATACCCATTTTAGATGAATAAATAGACCAATAATATAGGTATATCTAAGCCAAGATTGCACAAATAGGAAGCACTGAAGCCCAGCTTGCTAAAAACTGAGTGTAGATCCTGGTCTTATTATTTTGTATATGAGTACAGAGAAGACACTCGGTGGGTACTCTCAAAATAACTAGAAAAAAACATCAAGATCTGGTCATAGTAGGAGTGTGTGGAATAAGGGACAGGCAAAATCCAGGGAAATTTGCCACTATATGCCATTAAGCAGACTCTGTGTTATACCAGGGCTGATGTCGCCCCTAGATTACTTCTACAAGGGGTAGTTCTTCAGGTAATGTGAGTCTGCAAACTTTAAATGAATAGAAAGTCTGGAGGAAAACATTGAAACTTTCACTTTGATTCCAATATAAAAGCTTCACTTATTTTCAATGTTCTTTAAGGAGAAGAGATCTTAGAATTCTTTGACTCCCATCATTGTTCTCTGTGCATGAGGTTGTGCAAGATGTACTTGAAAATGCTTCAGTTCAGTGCTTTGTTTATCGTGGGAACACAAGGGAGAAAAAGCCTCTAATTTGTTTACTGAGGAAACATGACCTGCATGCTCTTCTCAGGGGGACAAGTCAAATAGTGGTGATTGAAATTCATGTCCTTAGTGGGTGTATAAATATGTGTGTGTGCATATATGAGCAACTGTCACACTTCGTAGGTCAGTGTAAGCACTGGTTGAGGAATTTGCTGGGTTTTCCAGTTCATTTGTAAACTCCAGGTAAATATCACAGATACCTGTCATGAAGCTAGTTACCGTCTTCCTGCTCGTGACCATTGGTCTTTGCAGTTACTCTGGTAAGTAGCCTGTAATACATGCTATATCTCTACTTCTCTGTTAATAGGGGTATAACAAGTAAGCCTAGGTTTACCAACAGTGGAACATGGTGGAAGAGGTTTTAGAACCAAAGAATAGGAAGGTTGGAAGGGATTTCCCATACCTCCCAGTTCCAAGCTCTAATCCAATACAAGTTCCCCTCCTAATGCATTCTGCATAGGAAGTTAGTCAACTCCTACTGAGGGTCAAGAATGCACAGTTGATTTCAATCATGGTAACCATTAGTTTTCCTTAATCTTGTGTCAAAATTTGACTTTGTAACTTTTAACTTATTTCTTTTGAAACTCTATGGAACCCTTCATTATCATCTCCAAAAAATTAGCTTGCCAGGTTGATTCTCCTACATATATCTGTTTCCCTACTTAACATATTTCTTGAGTGATTACAACCTGTTGGGCTCTAGATAACCACTGGAGGATTCAGACATGAATCAGACATTTTGTCACGTCCAGGAGGGAAGATAAAACTTCCACAAGTGATTGCAGTACCAGACTTCTGTAAATGTGATGAGATAAACACCTGAGGTCTGTGGGAATATCGAGGGGGTGGGGATCAATTCCCAGAGGAGAATGGGAATAAACTCATTCTTTGAGAAAGGAGTGATTGTAATTGTGGGGAAATTGTGTTTGAGTATATCTGAAAAATGCTTCATGATGACTTCTGTTCCTTTAGAGAAGAGAAAGCCTTAGGGTCTTTCCTAGGAGTATATAATATGTACAGAGAAATACTCTAAAATATGAAATAGGCAGAATAATCCTGAGAAAACTGGTGCTGTCCACACAGATATTGGCAAGTTTGGCTTGTGATTTTTATTGAATTTTGGGAAGAATTTATAATTTCACCAGTTTTGGTTATTTTGTTGCTTTTTATTATCCAGGGATCTATGGACAATGGTGGCAACAGAAAGAAATGGGGAAGGAAATAAAAGTCCCCACTCTAGAAGAAAAGTTTGATAGGGAATTAAGAGGTGGAAGATGAAGAAAAGACAGGTGCACAGGCTTCATTTTAGGATTTGAATGGAGGAAAAAAGAGTCTAAAGGAAAATGACCCATGGCAGGACCTTAGCCAGGAGGAAGATATTTAGTTCTATGTGTGTGCTCTCCTATGCGTCTCTGTTTATACATCAGCACATAGGTTTTTGTAAAAATATATATCATACATGTTTTTCCCAAGCTCTGCTGTTTTCCTTTGATTCACCTTTTACGGTGGAAGTTAGCTTTCTAAACCAAAAGGTAGAAAATGTAATTATTGCATATAAAAGTATTGATAGTTCCTTCTTGTACCCAGAAAAAAGATCCAAATCCCTTGGCCTAGCACACAAGGCTTTAAAAATCTGACTTCTTTCATTTTTTGCAGACTCAGCTTTTTTACCCTCCCCATCCCTGCCATATCTCTTTCTGTGTTTCTGCTACTCTAGTTAGAACATCTCAATACCTTTGTTAATGTCATTTCCAAAAGGTTGCCCTTTTTTTCCCCTTGTAATCCTAATATTTGCTTCAAGACACCACTCCATCACTTTTTCTGGAAAAACTTCTGTAATATCCTTCCATGTTAAAATTACTCATCCCTTCCTTTGTGCATCCACAGAGTGTTGTCCATAGTGTTAGCACAGCATATGCCTCTCTATAGCCTACACCTCTTTTTTGTCCACTAGAATGTGTGACTTCTCTGAATAGAGCATCCTGATCTTATTCTCTATGTATCTGTAGAAATTAGCATAGAGTTGGTATCTATGTATGTGTCATTGAAATGGATTTGTTGAGAACAATTGTGTTCTCTATGCTCAGTGCATTCTTGTCCCTGAGTGTTTATCTATTATAGCTTCTCTCATTTGGCCTCAAGGCTGTGGGCTGTGAAGACCAAAGGCTAAAGCTCTTGCTTGAAAATAGACATATGCCAAACACATATCAATTCAGTCAACTGCCAGTATTTATTGCCAGGCGTGGTGTACAGTAGTGAGCAAAACATAAAGTCTTTCTTCTCTTGGAGAATATGTTCTAGTGAAAAGATAACAGGTAAAGATTTAATATTTTATGTAATAGGATTATGAAGAAAAAATAAAGAGAGAGTTATAGGCAGTACTATTTTAGATATAATGGCCATTGTAGGCCTCTGAGGAGGTAACATTTTAGGTGAAGAAAATGGACATGGAGCTATCTGGGGAAAGAACATTCCAGGGCATTGGTCTTGAGGCAGATGTTTTCATGGGAAATGATGATCAGAGGGGCTGGAATGGAACCCCAAATGGACAGAGTAGGAAGTGATGAGGTCATAGAGAGGAGCCAGCTGTGTTTCTTCACTTGACTTTTCTTTTGTCCTGTAGCTAATGCCTTCATTATGAACAGTTTGTTCTCCCCTGTCAAGAATGTCTTACCTCCCCTACCTGTGGACAATGTTCTATCCTTCATGGATCCATTGAAGGGTCTTCTGAACACTCTGGGCATTTCTGTTGAGCACCTTGTGGAAGGACTAAAGAAGTGTGTGGATGAGCTGGGACCAGAGGCAGCTGAAGCTGTGAAGAAACTGCTGGTAACTATAGGTTTTGGGGGTTAATTTGTCAAGGGGGAGGGATTAATCACCACTAGGGCCTACTTCCCCACCCGACTCCTACCTTATCCTATTCTCACCTGTAACTATAAATTTCCCCTTAATTGACCATACTCACAGAAAGTTTGCTTGTCTTAGAATCTCCCAGGAAATGCAACTTCCACATTTCCAGAAGGATTTTGGTATGATAGAAGATTGATGCTTTAGTTGTGGTTTTATGACTCTGGATAGGACTCCACCACTCTGAGACTTTGTTTCCCTGTCAGTCAAATGATGGCTAAATTAGAGTGAACCTTATTGATAAACTGTTACACATAAGCTGCTCTTATTTTTATTTTAATCGTTGTCCTTCTGCCTTTCAGGAGGCCCTGTCATACTTGGTGTGACATCAGGATCAAGCAAGAGTGGAGCTGGAGGTGGAAGGAGGATAGTGCTCTCATCCCCTGACTGAAACTCTTTTCTATTCAAATATAAAATAAACATCCAAAACTGTAGTGTCCCTGGAAAAGAATGAATAAAGCAATTGCACAGATTTTCAGTTTGTCCTCATTTTATTTACTGCTTATAAAGCAAGTTTATTTCTGCAAAGTGGAGATATCTTATGTTTATGCACAGGGAAGGAATCAGGGAAAATCCAGATATCCAACCCTTCCTTCCTCTTGTATTACTTACTGCACTCAAGTCCTCAGCAGCATCATGTGGTGTTTCCATGTCTTGCTTCAGCATCTCTACTGGGCACTAAAGATGTTGGGATCGTGAAGGGTCAGACTGGCCACTAGTTGTTCAAAGTCACCCAGGCTCCAGGGGTGACAGGTTTTCAGGGCCAAGAGATGATCTATTTTCGGGGTGGGGGGCTGATTGAAGTTGAGCAGGAGATCAGTCTGGTACTGGGTCAGCCGGCATCAAGGCTTGGTGTACTGTTACTCCTTTGCTACCTGCTGGTTTTCCTTAGCTATCTGCTGCTTGTCAGAGAGGACCCAGGCCTCTTGACAGCAGCCCCCCAAGGCTAAGTTCTCCAAAGGGAGGGGCTGCACAGCCTCAACTTGTACCGCCCTAGCACCCTGCACCCCGACAACGTCCTCAAAGTGGTACCGAGCAGCCTCTTGGCCCAGCACGTGGGCCTGTAGTTCCAAAAGTTCCACGATCAAACTCTGGTCCGTTGTGTGATGACAGAAAACTTCCTGATTGTCTGGGACCGGTCGGAGGTCACTTACATTAATTGCCTCGGGGGGTAGAATGGCGGAGAAGGCATCCCCGAACAGTGGATAGTTTTGCGTGGGCTCCATGGGCCTGAGAGTACGGATGGACACTAGAGGGGCTTAAAAAGAAACACACATGGTGTGCGAGGGAGACCACCTGGGACCAGGCAGCATCACCGCGCTCACTTTCCAGCCATCACTGCCACCTCTGGCCCGCTTTAACTCTGGGCCCTTTTCAGGGCCTGAATAGCAGAAAGGACTAACTAGATAATTTTTCCCTCGGGTCATAAACTCTGGAGAATCTATTACTATAAAGACAACTCAGCATTTTAAGTAAGACTTATATTCATATTTTTCCCTCTCCTTATGAGTCCCCAGGAGATGTAGTAAAGCCCTTGGCTATTAGCCAAAGCCTTGGTAGTTTGAAGTTACCCTGATGTGCCTAGTGAGACAGACTGGGTGGTTTACTTCTGAAATTTCTCAGCCTTGAAAACCCCATGGAGTATAGTTCTACTCTGCAACACACAAAGTCACCATGAGTTAAATAGAATGGAGAGCAACTGGTTTTGGCTTCCTGTTTTCTTATCTCTATGCTGAATACACCCATTGCTTTTAACAATTCTTTTTTTTTTCCCCTAGATTCCTCATTCTTTTAATTCCCCATTTCTAAGGCTATTTTTAGATGAGAATTTTTAGACAAGGAGTTGTGGTGTTGGCAAAGAATACTGAAAGTACCATGGACTGCCAGAAGAACTAGCAAATGTGTCCCAGAAGAAGTGGAGCTGAATGTTCCTTGAAAGTGAGAATGACCAGACTTCATCTCACCTACTTTGGTCATGTTATCAGAAGGAATCATTCCTGGAGAAGGATATCATGCTTGTAAAGTGGAGGATTAACGAAAAACGGAAAGGCCCTCAATGAGACAAATTGATACAGTGGCTATGATGATGGGCTCAGGTATAGCAAGGATTGTGAGGCTGGTATGGGACAAGGCAGTGTTTTTTTCTGAGTTATTATGAGTCTGAGGTGACTCGGTGGCACCTAATAACAACAAAACAAGGACATTTTTAAACTTAAAATGAAAAAGAAATTTCAATGTACTGTATGATAAGACTAGAGTTTTAATTTAGCTTCATTGATTTGGAGTCTAGTTTCTATTAAGTTTATCCTAGGACCACTTCATATCATTTACCGACCTGCTACAAAGTTAGGCCTTTATTACATTCTTCTTGGGCAAATGGGTTCTGAAAAATTATTTCCTTTTCCGCATTCTATCATCTATCATGATGCCAGAATTTTCTTTTCTGAACATAAATTTGTTTATAGCATGACACCCAACAGCACCATGGGAGGAAAGCCTGGCAATCTGCTTCTGTAAGATTAAAACTAACACCAAGCCCACTGCCTGTGAATCAATTCCAACTCAAAGCAATCCTACAGCTAGAGGAGAACTGCCTCTGCAGGACTCACAAAGCCTTTACAAATCTGTACAGAAATAGACTGCCACAGTTTTCTCCCATGGAACAGCTAGCAGGTTCAAACCACAGACCTTTTGGTTAGCAGCAAACCACTTAACCAATTACATCACAGGGCTCCTTGTTTCTGTAAGATTACAGCCATTGAAAACTCTATGGGGCACAATTCTACTCTGGCACATGTAGAGTTACCATGAGTCAGAATTGACTGGACAACAAATGTAATTTTTTTTTTAATCATGGTATACAAGTCCCTTTGTGACACAGCCCTTTCTAGATATGTAAGCATATCTAATTTCATCAATATTCCTTTCTTCACTTCTTCATATGTGATCTAAGCACCATTCATACTGAAGAGATAACTAACTGCCTTTTCTGTCAACACTCTTTTACACCTTAACGAAAAATCAAGTTTCTTCCCACCCAGAATACCTGTCATAGTCTACCATAAGATCTGGAATTGTGCCAGTCTTGTGACTGTTTATCTAAGATCTATTTTCTACCTTTTCCCTGCCATGTTCTGTACTGAGGGAGATGGAGAAACAATGACGACCCCTGCAGGTTGTATTTCTCACGTTCCCATTTCAGCTGACTTGGGCAGGAGATGAGATGGGACAAAGGAAAACCCCTCTACAGCTCTGTCTTGGAAGACGTCTCTGAAGTTGTCTATGTCATGTCTGAGGCTCTGGGTCCTGCTAGATAGGCCTGCATTTGTTACAGCTTCAGCCACAGGGGCTCTGGCTATGCCATTTCTTTGCTTCTCCAGCTGAGATTGGTAAAGGCTTCCTGGTGTTTATGGTTTGTAGATTGGCTCACCATCATCTGTTTGGGTTTTAGCTCCTCTATCATCTATTTGCATTATATTTCCTCTATTCTAAATACTTAAAGTGGTTTCTATTTCTCAGTTGGATCCTGACTAATACAATGTTAAATGACATTTTCTCTATGAAGATAATATTGGTTTCTGGCTTACCATTTCAGATCCCCAGCCTTTTTTTGAAATTAAAATAGTTACACTCCATGAACATTCCTGTTCTCATTTCTCATCTCATATGTGTCTAACAATAGGCTGGACAAATAGTTTCAGTAACAAGCATGTGCAAATTTCAGGGACTTACATTCACAACATTTTAATTTTTTTCACACTATATCACCATCTTGGGTTGGCAATAGTTCCTCCCACCTCCATGTTGTCTGAATTTTGTGACCCAGAATGGATGGAGCTTTGTCAGAAACATTGCCAATCATCACAACACAGAGGAAAATAGAACTTGGTAAACCATGTGTTATCTATTCAAGCTTCTGCTTGAAAGTGGTATTCATCATTTCAAGTCATATGACTGTACTTGACTTTTTTAGGAAGGGGATGTATAACACTCCTGCAGCAAGGGGACAAATATTGATTAACATATTTTACCAAAATACTTGCTATTTTCAAAGGAATTGCTATCAGAGATGTTTCCCTTCCATTTGAACTTTTCTCCTCTCCTGGATTACGTGCTATCTTTCCTTTCATCCTTAGCTTTCCTTTTAATATGACCATTATTTCTCAGTTTCATTGAATAGTCTTTATAGTGGATAAGGCATTTTCCTGCTAATCAGAAGGTCAGAGGTTCAAACCCACCAGATGCTCCAGGAAAGAAAGATGGATCTAATTCTGTAAAGATTTACAGCCTCAGAAACCCAATGAGGGTTGCTATGAGTCTGAATCTACTCAATGGCTGTTTTGGTCACCCCTGTGCCACTTTAACAGAAAATATACCACAAATGGGATGGCCTTAACAAACAGGAGTTTATTCTCTCATAGTTTGGAGGCTTTAAGTCCAAGTGCAAAGTGCCAGGCTCAAGGGACTGGGTGAAAGTCCCTCAACCTTGGGCTTTAGCTCTGCCTCTTGCTCCTGGTCCACTGAAGCTAGAGGCATCTCTTCACTCAGGCAGCTACTGGCTGCTGAGACTGACAAGCCCAAGGTTGACAGATAAAATGGCATAGTCCCAATGCTAACAAACCACATGGCAGGCCATTAATTCAAGTCCATTGTAAGTCCCAAGGTTGGCAGAGCATGGCAGGCTGCTAAAAAATGACATGGCTACATGCAGAGTCCAAGCATGCTATAAGCTAGAGACCATTCCCAAAGCTGTTTCTCATTTACAGGAAGCATATCACTAAAGCAGCTACTCAGCTGCTTGTGGTAGGTCCCACAATGGAGTTGATTGCCAATCTCATCATGGGGAATGACTACCACCAGCTGCCAAGCCACTCAAGGCCCAGCCAAGTTGACACCACAATGGCAGTGAGTTATTGATTTTTTTTAAAATTATTATTCCTCTGATTTTCTTTAAATGTTGGTGCCTTCAAAATTTCTAAACTCAATGCCTCTTCACGTTTATATATACTTCATATATAACCTACAGTGGGATATGTCATGTACTCTTGTGGTTTTCAGTTTTGTCTTCATGGTAAGACTTGCAAAATCTATTAACACAGTTCATATCTCTTTTTTGAGGTCCAGAGTTGTATATTCATTTATCTATAAGACACATTTACAAGATGCCTTTCTCCCCCCTAATGTTCAACTCAGCAAAACTGCTGAACTCATTCGTTTTCATTCAAAATACTCTTATGTTTTTATTTCCTATCTCAGTTTATAGGAGCTCTGGTAGTGTAGTGCCTAAGGCACTTGACTGCTAACCAGAAGGCTGGCAGTTCAAACC